CCCCCCCATTACAGACACCCCCCATTACAGACAGGGCACCATTACAGACGTCAACAACCGCGCACAAAAGGTTTCAGATTCTATACAGTATTCTAATGCATTCATAATTATTTGAAAAAATAGTATGTTTTAGTTTACAAATAATGCAGTAGAATAACAAATTGAAAGGATATACGTGAGTTCCACATTTCAGCTCCAAAGGAGCTGCGCTGACAAGCTTTTTTTCCACTTTAGGAAATTGGCTTAGTTTAATTGTAATTAAATTCTAGTTAACTAGAATTAGTAAACAAATCACAATAAATAAGCTAATAACATTATTATCATCGACACTATTCCGTATTTTTTTGTTTTTTTTCTATTACAAATGGTATCTATGACGGCTGGACAAAAAAAACTTTTCTAGCAATTAAATGTTTCTTAGTCCGTATAATTGCACTTATATAATCGGATGCCTTGAAAAGTGATGGCACTCGCAGGTTGAGCATAACCGAAAATTTATGTCTCCATTTATAACTGGCTTTCATTCAGCGTAAACGACAAATCTTTTTCATTACTATGAAAAATCTGCAATACATTCATTCAAACATCAAAATACGTTAAAAAATAGGATAGATGAAGTAAGGACCAAGTCGAATAACACTTAAATATTGTGAGTCTCTATTTCTCTAAAACTGCTAGGAATGACGTCTCAAATAGGTATTTATTCTGAAAAAGTTACATAATATATTTTCTATCGCAGTGATTTTCATACGATAAAATGTCATTTGAACGACGCTGTCAAATGACAAAAAAATAAACTTGATACACCGACAAAAACTGGTCACATTATCAAACCTCAGCACTTTTCGTAGAATATACGAAACCTTTACAGGTTTTGAGTTTTGAAACGAATTCTGAAAATTTTTAGATTTCGTAGCAAGCCCTAAAAACATCCTACCGAACATTTAAAAAATGACTTTTCGATCGATGATAGTCACTTTGAAGAGATCAAAGATTTATATGAGACTCCTTCGAGGGTTTGGAATTCGTTTCCAAAAAGGTTCGGTATGATACTTATTTTTTTCAGTGTGGTTATCAATGAACAGGACTTACTCGAAAAATAATGATTGACATTAAGCAAGTAATGCCCAAATAACTTTTCTATTTCTCGTGATAATTAGAATAAAAACCCCCATCTCTCGATACATGGGTACTGTTTTATCTAAAGAATGCCATTTCTTATTTTGCGATGGCAAATAAATCATTCATTGAAAGCCTATATCGCGAGATACAACTATCAACACTTAGTTTCAATCCTGAAATATATAGTTTATGATATCACAGTTTTAACTAATTTTGGCACTAGACTTTTCATGATAGTGTAGTGTTTGAATTCACTTCCACTAGTTTTCATAATCTCTACAATTTAATTTAGCTTTCAGCATCTCAACTAGTTCAAAATAACAGAAAATCAAACTGACTGTATCGAAATTAAATAACATTCTCATAGCAAATAAATTCAACATTCTCAATGAATCGAGCAAAAATAGCTTAAAACTCATCAAAGCTATAAAAAGTACTCAGTCTCATTTTCAAAACTGGAATAAACTATATAAATCATTGACAAAACCGCGATATTAAAATCCTATACTTTGTTTTCTTGCAAGATTTTCTGCTTGAAGATATTTTATGTGCTATGAATTCAGGGATATAACTGGTTTTATGTCATCGGCCCGATTTCATACGACTTTTCTCGTTCCTAACGGTACCTAATAACTAGATATTATATGTCTGTCAATGAATGACTTTATTTAATTTTCATCAACTTTGGTTGATTAAAGGTATGTCATTCAGTGAATTGAAGAGACTTTTTTCCTAACAGTCCAGAAAAAACCTGACTCAGTTCTCTGAAAAGATTTGAAATAATACTTTAAATGAAATAAAGTTCTATGTCACTGTGATGAACACAAGTTTATTCATACCCAGCAACATATGGAGTAGCCATACTTGTACCCGAGTAGACAGCATATGCGTTTGGCTGTTTTTGCTTTGTGGCAGCGAAAGATGAAATGGTTGAATAAACATAGCCACCAATACCGCTGATTTGAGGTTTGAATAAAAGATCACCTGTAGGGCCCAACGATGTGAAAAATGAAGGTGTTCCCCCAGTCGCCTTAATGTCAATGAAAAGAAGAAAAGAAACTTTGAATTTAAAATCGTAAATATCATCATATGATTATTATTCATGTCTATTTTATTTATACTAGATAGTTTTAATTATAAATTCTTGTCTTTTTGATCAGAAAATTTTCACTCATTGTTCCCCAACTGGCTTTATAGCAGCTAAATTCATTTGTTTTCCAACGATTAATTTGAAAAAAATTGTCTCCTAAGATTCATAAAATTGGAAAACGATTTCTGAAACTTCAGCTAAATATAGCATATTCTAGAGGATAGTTGAAAACGTAGAATAACGTCAAAAAAGAAAAATATTTTGGGCAAAATTATTTTAATTCTGAATGAACTTTAAATAACATTAACCAGATTCAACAAGCTCTTCAAATGATATAAACTACTTCTTACAGTATTTCCAGGCCGATCCATTATCCACATTCCCAAAAATAAAAAGGAACTACTCTTCAACAATTATGCTACCTGCTTAGTGTTGAAAATATAGTTGACTAGATTCTAGGTAATAGTGTATACTTTTTTCCTATGATGCTTAGGAATTGATCTTAAGACTAATGTTATTTCATTCAAGACTAGAATAACAGATCTACGCCTACTTACGATTGATGGAATTGCAATTATATTGGTGAATGTAAATACAGCTGAGGGATTTCCTGCTATTATTGCAACAATGAGTTGACCATCGTCTAAGGTGATGATTCCACTTGGAATAGATGATGATCCTTGAAGACAAATTCAAATTCACAAGGAAATGAAATTAAGAAAATGAAACCTGTCCCTGGAAGACTATTGTATACAAGACAGCCGGTTGCACCGGCTGCTGCTGCTGTGTCACATCGAAGTACTGTACCACATGTATCCTCAATATTACGCTTAAACAGAACAACAACGCCTACAACAGATTTTGCAAGACCATTGCACCCATCATTTACTGTGGCTTGAGGATCTAGTCATTATATTAAAAAAAAAACATTAATTATAGTGAATGAAATGACAATGTACCGTTAACGACGATAGTCGAATTTGTAATGGATTGCCAACCGCCAAAAGCAGTGCCCGGAATATAGGAAATTGTCTTACCATCAGGTGCTATTATGTAGTACCCAACTGATTGTGAACTGTCTACTGAAGCTACTGCGATTGCACCCAATGAAATAGCTGGAGTAATGCCTGTTTGAACACCTTGGGCACCATCATTACCTTGCGCACACGTGACATAGACTTAAAGAAGAATTAGAAACATGGGAACATTCCTGAAATCGAAGCAAAATTAGTTACCTCCTCTGTCTGATACACGTTGAACAGCGATTGTCGCTACGTTCTCTGTGTACTCCTCAGCGTATCCAAAGGACATCGTGACTAAATATAAAGAAGTCATATTAATCGATATGATCACAAGATTATCTGTTTATTGATTTTCATGCCTAAAAACTATGATTTATCCAGCATTATTCGAAATCTCCGTTACATTTATAATAGTTCAAGTATAATCGCATCAGCCATTGTGATCGTGCTCTCACTATTCTAATTGTTTCCACGACTGCATTTCACAACAAGCTAGGATGATGACATTGGCATTCAAAGTGCAATACACTCAGATAATAAATCTTTTTATTCATAATAGTAAATTTTGAGTTTTTCAGAAGTTTTCCAAATAGGTTGCGGTAATCATGACAATCTTTCAGATCATATGAATATGAATTGAAAAAAATGTAGAAACAAATCAGACACTGTTTTTTTTTATTCTTTGCTACGGTGTAAACAGAGTCACATTTATTTTTACATGTTAACCTTATATATGCTGCCCCATCATAAAACGCACCAAAACTGGAAAGTTATGAAAAGACTTTCTCAAATAAAAGCAATTTATTTCAAGCTGTTGAGAAAAACTTCGGAGACTCTCAAGAAGTATTTATGATGAAAGTTTATATTCTGCTCCGATCCTTTTAATTCTTGGTAAGCAATCAGTTATATCAACTCACTTATGTCGGCTTTATCGTCGAAAGCACGATATATGGCTGCAGCTGCGATATCTAGAAAAAATATCGACAAGAAATAGCATTATGGCAAATTTTTGTATTTATATGCATATGTACCTGTGGTAACACCATCATTAGCACATCCAAAGATACGATCTGCAACATGAAAGGAGAAGAACTGAAACGAGTTATTAATAGTAGAAAACTGAAAAACAAACATGCGCCGAGAGTTGCCTGAGGAGCGACACCAAGAAAGGGCACAGCTGGTATGTAACCAGTTTGAGATATTCCTGTGGCATTTGCAGCAACGATTCCAGCAACATGAGTGCCTAAAATAAACATAAAACTCATTACAGGACAACCTTAAATAGTAAATAACATAAGAATAAATACCATGCGAGTCAGAAGAACAATTATCGAGTGGATCGTTGTCAGGTACTTGAATTGGGTTGGATGTAAAACTATAGTGGTCCCCAACTAAATCTAGAAACATTTTAACCATTATCTTTGTGTCTGTTGTGGTAAGACTAAAAATTGTTTTTTACCATAGCCAAATGCAACTTTGCAGTGAGCTCCGAAACATCCTCCCAGAGCAGGATGTAAATAGTTCACACCAGTGTCAATTACAGCAACCTACATAGTATAAACATGTTATCAATCAAATCTATGTCGTTGAAAGAAATGTCGAGTAATTATAGCATACTTACTCATTTTGACTTCAACTATTACAGTTAGGATGTTGAGGTCGTTAGAGTTTCATTAATGCCTTTTTTCAAACGGACTAAGTGAAACTTAATCGACGGTATTCATCAGTAAGAGTCAAATTTGTATGTTTGAAACAGCGAGTTAGATGTGATTGGACATTCCTTCTGTTTTAGAAAATCATTTTTAATTAAAAAGAGTTACGCTTCAAATTTTATTCAGCTTTGACTAGCATTCTCAAATGTTTCTTTGAAATTTTTCAAATATTTATTGGTGTAACAAAAAGATACTTCTGAAAATACATCTCGAATCTTGTTAAACAGTTTTTGAATATTTTCTAGCTAGGAAGAGCATATCATAGAACTTTTCCCGCAAATCAGAAGACATCAAATAATTTGATAGCTACAGTGAAGCCATTCTTTTCATCTTCTTTTCGAAAAAGTACACTTTCATATTTTATCGTTTTTCTTTCTTCTATAAATGGACAGTGAAAGCCGAGTTCTCTCTAAAATTCTTACCCGGACGCCTTTCCCAAAGTTATTCAATTTTTCGTGAACCTGTGTAACACCTGTTAAATCATGTCCCATGACAGGATTCTCCTGATTGTTGTTAATGAGAGGTTTTGGAGCAGGAACAGAATGAACTGGGTAAACAGCAATAACGTTGGGGATGGTCTTGATTACTTCGATTGAATGCTCAGTATTCACCGAAAACGAAGCTCCAGAAAACAGCAACGTAGAAACAGTTTGGCGCATTCTGACGGCTGATTCGGGAATTCCATGAAACCTTTTCAGATGGTTCGTAATGGCCTGATGAAAATTTTTGATGCCAGCACTTTGGTCAAATTCTACCATGTAAGTTCCAGGAACACATGTATAACCACTGTCTAGAAAAATATAACACAAAATGTGTACTGTATTGTGTAACATATTCTAGAACAATACGTACTAAAATTAGCCTTTCGGTCAGCAAATGCATCTGTGAATACAAGCACTGCTATATTAATGATAAGAAAGAATGCTTTTGGCATGATTAATGCCGTATTCTTTTTATGTGCTCTAAATATAAGTCGTCGACTTGCAAGTAGAAGTGAATGAAGAATTCAAAATCTACAATGGATTTTCTGATGATTAATTTATGACTACAGTTAGAACTGTTTACAATTGAACTAACAATGAATATAAAGTATTCTATTCGTTCTCTGGAATGAGAATTTATCAAAAACTTCGTTTGATTCTTTTTGAAACACTATTTCATAAGATTGTGGAATTATATATGGTTGTAACACCTACATCGTGTTTCAGACTCCAATTTCACAAAAAACATTCGATTTTCCTTCTGGTGCGATTTTCTCATAAGATTGAAATCTAAAGGAGAGAAATCGATAAGCGATGAAATCATGTGTTGCTAAAACATAAAAAAAAATGACTGACCACTGTGGATCAGTACCATGACAATATCTAGGGGGTACCCTTATGCTGACCACTTTGGCCGACTTTCTAATATTAGGACCCAAGTTTCTCATGTATTCAGATAGTTCACCACCTTGGTTTATATCCCATTCGATAGCTCTTTTCAAAAACTATTAGAAGACACTAAAATATCAAGAAAAAATTACTGACCACTATGGGTCAGTAATGTGACAATATCGACGGGGTGCCATATGTTGACTACTTTCTAAGATTGAGATCCAAGCTTCTCATGTATCCAGATAGTCCGTCACCTTGATTTATATTCCATTCGATAGCTCTACTGAAATGCTATCAGAAGATGCGTCTTTATTTTCGTTGCATTACCGATGTATTCCAGCTAAAACGTGCTGGGTCATACGCCGAAGAAAAAACATTAATGACAGATCTTACTGGAACTGTTAATTATATATTTTGCAGGTGTAAAGAGTTTCCAAATCCCACACGAGTGCCTACTAGGTCGACTCATGTTAACCGGACGAGATACAACCCGGTGATTAAATTCTCACCGGATGAGGTCTTAGATTGGTGGTGCGATTGTTCTATGGGAAATGTTCTCATAGATTGTTACAGTAACATAGTCTCCACCGTCTGGTTTCTATGCTTCGAGCGACGGTAGTTGCAAATTCGTCATATACCATCAGGTGATTTTATTCAATTAGCAACTGATGTGAATCAATTATCAGACTTTTGTGATTAAACGGATGATGAAGCCGATGTTAATTAATATTTTTAAATCATTTTAAATAAAAATACAACTTCCTCAATAGTCTAAATATCTTACGATGATCTTCCGCATTAAATATCTATCATGCATTACAATCTAAATTCAACCTCATTCAGTTCGCGATTAAAATAAACATCGGTCATTAGAAATATTGCTTACTGAATACTTTCTGTTATATAATCAACAAACACTTCGGAATCATGATTCAGACACAGAAACAAAAGAGCCTCCTGAAAGGCACACTAACAGATTAATCAGAAACAATTTCTCATGAAGGCAACCAAATAGTTCTCATATCATTTCCATTACTCCTCCATCATTAGAGAGGTCTCCAAAACCACGATCTATTACACTGAAAGTTGGGACTATTTGGTAGGTCCATAGTTCGAAATCGAAGGATCGTATATCAGAAAGTCAATCATCCATGTTCCATATCAACCCGAGCGCCAAATAGCAGCATTCACAAATCACAGCCACTAATAATTTTTTCTTCATATTTTAGCATCTTCTGATACCATTTGAAAAGAGCTTTCGAATGGTATATAAATTAAGGTAGTGGACTATCTGGGTATTTAAGAAACTTGGATCCTAATATTAGAAAGTCGGCCAAAGTAGTCAGCATAAGGGTACCCCCTAGATATTGTCATGGTACTGATCCACAGTGGTCAGTCATTTTTTTTGATCTTTTAGCACCACATGATAGTACTTGAAAAGAGCTATCGAATGGTATATAGACTCGGTCGGTTAGCTTTTGGAACGGTCGGGGAATCGCTATTCACTTTTATTAGTACCAAATGGGCCAATAGGGCTTTATATTAGCCTCTGAGTACAAGACATAATTAAGGCCAGGTACGGTGTACACGCATTCCATTGGTCTGGTTTTTATAATAAATAATTTCTAAGGTCTAAAGTGAGCTGTTAATAAACAAAAATAGGAATTTAGGCAGGGGTCGATTTCATCACTTATCGACCCCCTCCTTTTAGTTCGATCGCGATTTTAATTGGCGTTCTTTTTTCTTCACTATACTAATGTCCGTTTCAAAATATAAGAGCCGCGACCATTTTTTCAATAACTTTTGATAAGAATCAGATAGATGTTGCGGTTTTCGCCATAAATAGAGAAGATTTAGGCGCATCAATCCATGCTAAAATATGATTAGTTAACATTGGACCAATCAGGTACAATCTCGACGAAGATGTTGAGCACCCCTGTCTGGAGACATTTTTCAACTTAGCCCTATTCATTAATTTATATATTGATAGAAAAATTTTTTCTCTTTCGATCTATGAAAGGTAGACCTTTCTAACTTGTTCCGTTCAAGAGTTATAAGCGTTTTCCTGAGACCCCTAAGTTCAGCCAATTGACCTCGGATCAAGCAGAAAACCATCTAGGGTGGGGTAATTCATCATGCTGAGTCGAATGGTGATGTTTGTCTGTGGATTCAAAACTATCTTACGCTGTGCTTTAGGAGTTTTCTACATTTCACAACATCTACCGCTGTATCACATGAGTCCACATTTCAGAAATATTGAGATAATACCGTAAGATGGTTTAGAATCCAAAAACAAACATCATCATTCAACTCAGCATGATGAATTACCCCATCCTAGATGGCTTTCTGCTTGATCCGAGGTCAATTGGCTGAACTTAGGGGTCTCAGGAAAACGCTTATAACTCTTGAACGGAACAAGTTAGAAAGGTCTACCTTTCATAGATCGAAAGAGAAAAAATTTTTCTATCAATATATAAATTAATGAATAGGGCTAAGTTGAAAAATGTCTCCAGACAGGGGTGCTCAACATCTTCATCGAGATTGTACCTGATTGGTTCAATGTTAACTATAATCATATTTTAGCATGGATTGATGCGTCTAAGTCTTCTCTTTCTAATGGCGAAAACCGCAACACTATCTTATTCTTATCAAAATTTATTGAAAAAATGGTCACGGCTCTTATATTTTGAAACGGACATTAGTAACATAAAAACTACTGTTACACATAAATCAAAATTACAAAGAGCATTGTTGAAAATAAGAAATCAATAGACAAAATTTTGAATGCTGATATGACATAGTTATTATACTAGCATTGATGTTTTTAAGAAAAACAAAGAATTCAATGAACACTATTCAATTACAACAGAGTTTAAGAAAACTTTGCTTCATCTATTGATGTTGGTTCTACAAAAATGAAATAAACCAATGCAAATAGCATTTAGGCACGTGTTTTTATTCCTTGGACCTTTCAGAAATATGGGTAACAAATACAGTTTGTGATACTGTTATTACTTATATCAATGTTCAAATGAATGTTACATTACCTACTAGGTGTGGGTAGAACTAAACGATTTACATATACATAAATTTTCACTTTTAGTTTTAATAGATAGTTGAAATTAAATAAAAAGAAAAACTGCTGACAACTTCTTCAATATCGATGATTCACTTATTTTTCATGGCGTTATATCATTGGAAAAAACTCCATCTTTTGCAATAAAACTTAATTATCAGATTATGTATTGTCGATCAGCTCTTTAGACTGCATCTATCTATAAACTTATCTGTAAATTTTTGAAAAATTTTTATTTTGCCAATACTTTTTCAA